TTACGGAGCTTTTGTTATATAAGCTTGCATGGTTGACTAAATCCTTGACCATAGTGATTTAACTCAAAGTCCAGTTTCCCTCTCTTCCCCAGGGGTCAGGAGTGAGGCTGAAAGTTTCAACCCTTTAATCCCATGATTGGTTCTCTGGCAATCAGCTTCCATCCCCAAGAATCACCTCATTAGCATACACTCAGGGATCGTTCAAAGGGGCTTATTAGGAATAACAGGTAACTTCATCACTCAGAAATTGCAAGGGTTTTAGAAGGTTTTTCCAGAAACAGTGTGGGGCTTGTGTACCTGGATATGTACTTCTTTGTTTTTGAATAAGAGTCTCACTCTGTTGCCCAGGCTGAAGTGCAGTGGCTCACTCACAGCCACTGCAGCCTCGACCTGCTGGGCTCAGGCAATCCTTCCGCCTCAACCTTCCAAGTAGCTGGAACAACAGGTACATGCCACTATGCCCGGTTAATTATTATTATTATTTTTGTTATAGAGATGAGGTCTCACCAGGTTGCCCAGGCTGGTCTCAAACCCCTGGGCTCAGGCAATTCTCTCACCTTGGCCTCCCAAAGTGCTGGGTTTACAGGCGTGAGCTACCATGCCCAGCCCAAATATGTACTTCTTATATGTCACAGGCTTCATGATAAATTCCAAAGGAGACACCAAGACATTTAATGAGAAATCTTGTATGGGATTAATTTGCAAACCAGTTTCACATCAGTGACTGCCAGTGCCACAAATAAAACCAGCTAAAGAGTGATTGAGCTGCAGCCCTTCTCTCTGGCAAAGTCCAATTCCTTAACTTTGGTTTATGAAGTCCCATAGGACCTGATCTCTCTCTACTTCTCTCACCTCACCCTTTTACTTACACTTGAGCCACCTTGGTACTTGCTGTTGCTTGAACACGCTAAACTCATTTTTGCTTCAGACCTGTACTCAAGCTGTTTCGTCTGCACAAACTGTTCTTTGGATGACTGGTTCCTTCTCATCATTCTCGTCTCCATTCAGATTTTCCTAGGCTTTGCACTTAGAAGCATGCACTCTACAGTGAAGCTACCTGGATTTAAATCTTGGCTTCACCATTTATTAGTTAGTGGCTTTGGGGCAAGTTGCCTAATTTCTCTGAGCGTGTTTCCCCTCTAAAATGAGCTGTGTCATATATCTAAAGTCTACAACAGTACCTAGTACAGAGTAAGTGCCGGGTAAGTAGGCTGTTACTATTATTTGACTGTTCTAGTGTAACAAGGCCCCCACCACAGTTACCTTGTTTTGTTGTATCTTTTACCTTGTTTTGTAATAATTAGTACTGTAATTATCCTATATATTACCTTATATTATATCTTCATAGCACTTAGAAGCAGAAACTACTTTGTGTGTTTGCTGACCTAGTTGTTGTTTGCTACTCCTAATGGTCCTCCCACTGGAACAGACTCTCTGTGGAATCAGGAATTTTGCCCTTCTTGTTCACATCCTTAGTACCTAGAATGGGATGTGGCACATAGAAGGGACAGAAAAAATATTTGTTGAATAGATGAATGAATGACAGCTATGAATTTACGGTTCGAGTTATCTGTGCAGTTATTTCCAGAGGAAGCTGTGTCATACTTATATAAAAATGTTTTTTTTTTAGTTTTTCTAGCTTTTTTGTTCTAGCTTTTTTTGTTGTTGTTGTTGAATAAATGAATGAATGATAGCAGTGAATTTAGCCAAGTTATCTGTGCAGTTATTTCCAGAATGAGGCAGTGAAGCTGTGTCATGCTTATATAAAAATGTTTTTTCTAGCTTTTGTGTTTGTAGTTGAGGGTGGATACTCCTTATCCCACAGTGATACCAAATTGAGATTTAGGTACCAGAGCACAACCTTGTGTAATATAACTGCAATTTTTTAATTTTATTTTTTTTGAGTTGGAGTCTCCCTCTGTCGCCCAGACTGGAGTGCAGTGGCGGCTCCCGGCCACCGCAGCCTCGACCTGCTGGGCTCCTGCGATCCTTCTGCCTCAACCTTTCAAGTGGCCGGAACTACAGGCGCGCACTACCACGCCCGACTAATTTTTGATTTATTGTGGAGACGAGGTCTCGCCAAGTTGCCCAGGTGGATCTTGAACCCGCGGGCTCAGGCAGTTCACTCACCTTGGCCTCCCAAAGCGTGGGATTACAGGCTGAGCCACCAAGCCCAGCTATAACTGCAAATTTTAAACTCTGTAATAAAAAATCTTTTCAGACTCTCAAGTTGTTCTCTGTGAATATCAATAACCAGAACTTTTTAATAATTTAAATGGATCATTCTTAAATTTAAAATGTGGTTGAACACTTTATATTGTCAGTACTCTTTCTCTGACAAATGACTGGGTTTGCTCAAATGAGTTTAAGCACAAAAAGAGAACTCATTGACTCTCTTTTCTGATGAGATTGGGCATGGCTGGATTTAGGAGCCCAGATGGTCCGACCAGCTCACAGCTGTTTTCTGCTGCTGGCCCAGTCCTGCTCTGTGTAGGCATTGATCCTAGGCAGGCTCTCCAAACCCAGAGACAGAGAGATGGTCACAGGCAGTCCCAAGTTTGCATCCTGTAAGTTTAGTAGCTGCAGTGGAAGGGGAGGTCCCAAGGGCTTAGGCTCAGGTTCTGCACCCATTGCTGAGCCTCAGGCTCTGAGTAGAAAGCCTGGTCCATGCGTCCACTTTCCAGGGTGGGCTCTGGTCAGTCCCACTTGACCCATGTGGGCCAGAGATAGAGAAGAGGCAGTTTCTGAAAGTTCAGTTCTGCTGCCAAAATAACAGATGCTGGGCAGGCAAAACCAATGCAGAACTTTTGAGAGCTCGTTTTATTTTGTGTTCTGTGACACGTCTGTGACCTTTCAGTGGACAAGCAAATGTGGCTATGTCTCTTATCCAAGGTCGAATACCTAGCAGGACCATAATTTCCCTCTAGCTCCGGGTGACTTCTCCACTCGGCCTCTTCCAGTACTGGAGCTTCTTAGGCTTCCTAATGCTGCCCCTACCGGCAGGGAGGTGTGGATGCACTCTGGAGGGCTGGGTTCCCCCAGAACCCGCCGCCATGAGTCTAAGGTTCCTCTTCAGTCTAGTTTGTTTAACGGTAAAGTCATTACACGTTTACGTTCCACTCTGTGCAGTGCTCCTTGTCATGTAGAAAAAGGCTTCATATGACCTAGTGCCTGAAACGTATGCTCCAAGAAGAGGCCTGTTTGTCTTTTGGTGAGTCCTGCTAGCCTCACGTCCTCATATCAGAAGCACAACACAGCCCTCCGCTGGATGTTCAGTTGCTGTCCTCTATTTTTAACAGGGATTCAATGAGTTACTCTTTATTGTTGTTTTTGGGGTATGTATGTGTGTGTGTGTGTGTGTGTGTGTGTGTGTGTACATGTGTGCATGCATGTAGAGCATGGTCTCACTCTCTTGCCAGGCTCGAGTGTGGTGTTGTGATGGTAGCTCACTGCAGCCTTGAACTCCTGGGCTCATGTGATCTTCCTGTTTTTTTTTTTGCCTCCTGAGTAGCTAGGACTGTTGGTGTGTACCGCACTGCCTAGCTAACTTTTTCAAAAGTTTTTGTAGAAATAAGATCTTGCTATGTTGCCCAGGCTGGTCTCTAACTCCTGGGCTCAAGCAATCCTCCTGTCTAGGCCTCCCAAAGCATTGGGAGCACTGTGCTTAGCCCAATGAGTTACTCTTTAGAGCTCTAGACAATATACAATGAGATAACAAAAACATTATAAATATGGATAAAATTGGGTTGTGTGAAGAACACATATTTTTATTGTCTCCAATTTCAAGTGAACCTCTGACCTTAAGTTTTCTGGCAGTGCTGTACAGTTTCCCTGACCAGCTGTCTTCACCTGCTTCTCTCTTTGTTACCTGTGTCCTCATATCCAATAAACTGGTTTTGGTGAGAAGAGCACTGTTGATGACTTATTTTACCTTTCATATGTTTTCAGTGTATTATTTTGGAGTTTGCATTCATTGTGACTTTTCAGGAAGGTAATTGTTGTGTTATAGACGTCTTTTAGTTTTATAGAAAACCATATAGCTATGGCCAGGCACAGTGACTCACACCTGTAATCCCAGCACTTTGAGAGGCCAAGGCGGAGGGTTGCTTAAGCCCAGGAATTTGTGAAGAGCCTAGGCAAAGACCTTGTCTTTGCAAAAAATTTTTATAAAGTTAGCCAGTCGTGGTTATACACACCTATAGTCCTACCTACTTGGGAGGCTGAGGTGGAAAAGTCACTTGAGCCTAGGAGGTCGAGGCTGTGGTCATGCCACTGCCGTCCCAAAAACCATATATGTGTGTGTGTGTGTGTGTGTGTGTGTGTGTGTGTGTGTGTGTGTGTGTGTGTGTAACATTAAAGAACTTTGAATATATGAAAAACAAATCTTAGTCCTCTTGACTGGTTAGTTTTCATTTTTGTAAATTACCTTTCTAGTTTTTCTTTTTTTTAAAAAAAGTTTTATTGTAGAGATGGGTCTATGTCACCCAGACTGATTTTGAACTCTTGGCGTCATGTGGTCCTCTCTCCTGCACCTCCCAGTGTTGTGATGACAGGTGTGAGCACTGCACCCAGCCCAAATTACCTTTCTAAAAGGAAACCTAGAAGGCTTATTATGAGGGAATTCCTTATTCTTAGGACTTGGATTTTTTTTTTTTTTGGTATTATTATTATTTTGTTAGGACCCTTTCATTCAAAGAACAATTATGAAATCTGGCCTAGTTTATTATTTTTGTACTACTAAATAGGACTGATGATTCTTTAAAAATCAAGTGTCAGTTTGTAAACTTGTTAAAAGTAATCATTTTGTATTATATAAATGTGTATGTGAACCTCTGATTAAAGCTACCTTTATATCCTAAGATTGTCAGCTAATGAGTGAAATTGGTGATATGTACTAGAAGTTGAAGATCATCTTGGAGTGTCTCGTAATGAGCATAACTGGCTTTCAATCTTGAAGACATCTCTCATATTCTCTCTCCAATGACATTTCTGCCTTTCAGAGTAGAATGCATGATTGTTGCCAACGATGCCACTGTCAAAGGAGGTACCTACTATCCAGTGACGGTGAAGAAACATCTACGGGCCCAAGAGATTGCGCTGCAAAACAGGCTCCCCTGCATCTACTTGGGCAAGTCATGAGAGTTGTAAAATCAATTGCTGTTAGCTGGTAAAATGCAAGACTGCTTAGAGGCTACATAGATGACATTGTCAACAGGTATTTTAAAAGCCTGTTGATTTCTCCCATAATTGCAAAGGAAATGCATGTTCTTTGCTGAACACTCTAGAGGGGAAAGTGAACAAGAAAACCGTGGCAGCTTTTTCTCTATATGTGCAGAGATTTGTTTCTTCTGTACGTTTTGTTTCTCTGTTAATTATTGTGGGTTCAAACTATGGAAGACCGATAGCTCATATTTATAGGTCTCTTGAGTGCCAGGTACGTGTTAAATGCTTATGTAGCACATAATTTGAGCAGATGTAATTTCAACTTTAATTTCCAATGAAAGTAAATTTATATTTGAAATGAACATACATATGAATCAAAGGGTATATCAGAAATAACCTCAAAGCAAAGCGGTTTAAAATGGGTACCTCTTGGATCTAATTAGTTTAGTTTGGTAAAACTCCAACACACATTGATCACTTCTGTGAGTATTCGACAGGTGCTGATGCAGCAGGGTCCCTCTCATCCCAGGAAATTGAATTACCTGGTTGACTCACAATGTGAACTGCTTTGCATATAGAAAAAATCAGCAAATGAGACCCAGCTGCTTGCAGGTGCTGTGTGACACCATCAGGGGTACAGTGAGGAGGATTATGTTGTTTCTGTCTTTGGTGAGCTTGTAATGAATTGGAGACAGGATATGATGATAAAAGATATAATGGTGGTAGACTCTCAGTATGTTCTGAACTAAATGCCTTACATATGTTGTTTCATGTCATCCTAATGACAAGTATATGGGATAGCTGCTTTTGTTATCTTCATTTCGTTGGTAAGAAAACCGAGGCATAGAATGGCATAGGAAGCACACTGAGGCATAGGAAGCACACCTCTCCTCACACAGCTATAAAGTAACAAGTTTGTTTTGAATTTAGCTGACATATGTATCCATCACTGCAGTCTGCAGTAGAAACAGTGTTAGAAGGCACTGTGTATAAATTGTCACATGAATTCTATAGATGGTTCTTGTATTGGTTTAAAAAGGGGAAAGATACTTTTCTAGCTTAGCTGACTAAAAAATTTATGATGTTTCTGGACCTTCGGCTGATCTAGAAGAAGAGAATGTCCTAAACACTTCAAGGAGAGTTTGGCACAAAGGCAGGAAAGCCTAATGGGCTTGGGGCAAACAGCGATTCCTTTTGGCTATATTAGAGGGTTGGAGAAAGAGGCTCTGGAAATAGTTTGGCAAGACAGGGCAAGTTTTTTGTGAATGTAATTAAGAACTGATGATATCATCAATACAAGTCTCCCTGTGTGTAACCTATTTTGTTCCTAGAGATGTGCTTATTTTTCTAATTTTCCTTGTCTTCAGTTGATTCCGGAGGAGCAAACTTACCTCGACAAGCAGATGTATTTCCAGATCGAGATCACTTTGGCCGCATATTCTATAATCAGGCAATTATGTCTTCTAAAAATATTACACAGGTAATTTTTCATATTACAGTGTTGCTTTTTGCTCCAAATGCCTTTGTTAATTAGGCACTCTGGGATGACTTAAAAACGAAACAGTTTAATACAGAATTTAATCTTTTCCCACAGAAAGTATCTTAAAATTGTCCCTGCTTAGAATCTTTTGATAATTATAGAAATACTCCTATACTGTTATAAAAGTTATTTACCCAAGGAAAACAGGCTTTAAAAAGAAGGGGCCTGAATGTGGTGGCTCACACCTGTAACCCCAGCACTTTGGAAGGCTGAAGCAGGAGGATTGCTTAAGGCCAGGAATTCTAGACTAACCTGGGCAAGAGACTAGCAACACCTAGTACGTTTAAAAAAAGAAAAAAGAAAAAAGAGCCAAGTGATTCTAGCTATTGGGCCGGCTGAGGTGGGAGGATCTCTTTTTTTGTTGTTGTTTTTGAATTGGAGTCTCACTCTGTTGCCTAGACTGGAGTGCTGTGGCCGCTCCTGGCCACCATAGCCTCGACCTGCTGGGCTCCAATGATCCTTCCGCCTCACCCTTCCAAGTAGCCAGAACTACAGGCATGCGCTACCACACCCAGCAAATTTTTTGATTTATTGTAGAGGCGAGGTCTCATAATGTTGCCCAGGCTGGTCTCAAATCTGCGGGCTCAGGCAGTCCTCTCACCTCGGCCTCCCAAAGTGCTGGGATTATAGGCTTGAGCCACCGTACCCAGTCAATGGGAGATTAATAATGCAATGTTTAACTGTGAAAATGAGTGCACTAAAATTGCATCCAAAAACATAAGTAGGTCTCAAAGAAATATGTGGAGTAAAATAATGGTAGAATAAATATATAGCCACTTACCACGTATTAAAGGTCAAATACATCCAATCATACTATGTATTACTTGTACATAAACAAAACCTGCACTTGGGAATGTTACACTCAGTGTTAGAACCAGGGTTGCCTCAGGGAGGAGAAAGGAATAAGGTTGACAGGGACACCTGTGGTGTCTGAACTGTTTTATTCCTTTAGAAAAATGATCTGCGGTGAGTTTGACCACATGTCAAGACTTGTTAAGACCTTAACGAGCTGTTTATCTTATTATTCTGTGGTCTTTTTTGCTTGGTTGAAGTACTTCATGATACTGATGCTTATTCTTGGTTTCCATTTCCTTATTGGATTTCTTAAGTTTATGATATTTTTATTCATATTCTAACTAGTCTTAACTTGCAATGACTGTATCTCTTTTTAGTTTTCTACTAATGCAGTGGGTTGTGGTTGTCTGTTGTGTATTTCTCTGTGCCCCAGTGACCTTGCCTGCCTCTGTGCTTTGTTCGCCTAAGTAGAAACTTCGGCTTTGCTTCCTCTCACCCAGATGGCCCTTTCATCATCCTGTGTGAGAGTCTTATTGTGGTCATCGGTTTCATCGAGGAAATTAGCCCATTTAATCTGGTATTTTAATTTATGTAGCTGACCTTTTATTAGTCTCCTGTGGCTGCTGTAACAGATGGCCACAAATGAGGTAGCTTAAAACAACAGAAATTTATTCTCTCAAGTTCTGGAGAGAGGCCAGAGCTCTGCAATCAAGGCAGTGGCAGGGTTGCACTTCCAGGGAGAGTCTGTTCCTGGTCTTCTCCAGCCTCTGGAGGCTCCAGGTGGTCCCTTGGCCGTGACTGCCTCTCTCCATTCTCTGCCTCCCTCTTTACATGGCCTCCTCTGTGTGTCTGGGTCTCCTCTCTTCTCTCTCTTCCAAGGACAGTTGTCATTGGGTTTAGGGTCCGCCCAGGTAATCCCAGGTGATCTCATCTCAAGGCCTTTAGTTCAGTTAAGCCTGCAAAGATCTCTTTTCCAAAAAAGGTCACTTTACAGATTCTGAGGATGCAGGTGTAGACATGTCTTTTGGGGAGCCACTCTTTGGCCCCCTATGACCTTCACCATCTCACATGCTTAGTCTTTGCTCTTTCTGCCCATGAAGCTTCTGGGAAAACTATAAAAAGGCAACCAACTTTTAAAAAATATTTATAGAGGATCCGCTGTATGCCAGACATTGTGCTGGTAAATATAGCCAGGTGGGGTCTCTCGTCCCTTGAACTTAAAGTTTGAAGTGCTTTAAAAGTCAAACTTTTTTAGAATTAAAAATGTACATATTTTTTGAATAAGCAATACCTGCCTGTAACAAAATCCAATATGTCTGAAGGGCATTTGATTGAATATCTTTCTTTCACCTATTTTATTTTTGTTTATAAAAAATTTTAGGCTGGGCGCGGTGGCCCAGCCTATAATCCCAGTACTTCAGGAGGCCAAGGTGAGAGGATTGTCTGAGCCCATAGGTTTGAGATCAGCCTGGGCAACTTGGTGAGACCTCATCTCTACATTAAATAAAAAAAATTAGCCAAGTGTGTTGGCTCGTGCCTGTAATTCTAGCTACTTGGAAGGCTGAGGTGGAAGGATTGCCTGAGCCCAGCAGGTCGAGGCTGTGGTGGCCGTGAGTGTGCCACTGCACTCCAACCTGGGTGACAGAGTGAGAATCTGACTCAAAAAAAAAAAAAAATTTAGCATTAGTGTTTCTTTAACTGAGCTACTTCTTTTAGCATTTATTTTTTTCTGTTTCACTTAAATAGAAAGTTTAGACTTTTAAAGTTTGCTTTCCTATATTTTTGTGAACCTCTTGGAATTTAAAAGGAAATTTCTAGCTGTTATTGTATATGGAGTCTCCGTAGTACCTATCCTGATTTTTTTTTTTTTTTTTGAGTTGGAGTCTGTTGCCCAGGCTGGAGTACAGTGGCACACTCATGGCCACCACAGCCTTGACCTGGTGGGCTCAGGCGATCCTTCTGCCTCAGCCTTCCAAGTAGCTGGAACTACAGGCACGTGCCTCCACACCTGGCAAATTTTTTCTTTGATTTATTGTAGAGATGAGGTCTCACCAAGTTACCCAGGCTGGTCTTGAACCCGTGGACTCAGACAATCCTCTCACCTTGGCCTCCCAAAGTGCTGGGATTATAGGTGTGAGCCACCATGCCTGGCCTCTATTTACTAACTTTACTACTTGTTTTATTATTAAATACTTTGGCTTAAGTGACTGATAAAAACAATTTTTTATAGTTTATTATATAAATCAGTCACTTGTAATTCTAGTTATGTTATGTATTCATTTTAGTCATAAGAACTAGCTTCCTTATTCAGATTCAGTTCCTGTTTCTCTCAAAGGTTTGTTGTTGTTTTTTTTAATTGAGTTGAGGTCTTGCTATGTTGCCCAGGCTGAATTCAAACTTCTGGTCTCTAGATCCTCCTGCCTTAGCCTCCTGAGTAGAGATTATAGGGGTATGTTACTGCACCCAGCCCTAGGTTGGTTTTTAATTAATGTTATTTGCCTTACCCATTGTAAATCCATTTATCCACTTATTTCTAGGAGCATCTCTATTGACAATCATCTCTCTCTTATTTCCTATATCTCTGTAGGAAGAAGGATCATCTGAGTCCAGAAGGCGAGGCTGTGGTGAGCCGTGATCGTGCCACTGCACTCCAGCCTGGATAACAGAGTGAGACCTTAACCCAAAAAAATGTGGACAGATTTCCTCCCGAGCTTCCCACTTTCAAACATTTCTTTTGCTCTCACGGAGAAAAGATAGTTAAACTAGCTACTTATTTTTGTATTCTTTTCTGTTTCATCTTTTTTCCCTTTATGGGATATTTTAGGATTCCTTATTTGATTTTGGAGTTTAAAGACTTGGTATGCTGGTGTCCAGCAGTCTTTCTGTGACTCTCACGCCGTGAAGATACTTCTCCTGGTTCTTCTCCAAATCTATGGCCTGATGCCATGATCTTTGGCATTTTTTCATTTCCCTGTGCTATGGTTTGAATGTATCCCCCAGAAGCTCATGTGTTCAAAACTTGGTTGCCACTGGGGTGGTGCCAAGAGGTGGGGCCTTTGGGAGGTGGAGCCCTCATGCATGGATTAATGCCATTATTACAGGAACTCGGTCCCCTTTTCCTGCCTTGTCCTCTCTGTCCTCTCTCTCGCCCTTCTGCCTTCTGTCCTTCTGCCATGGGGAGACCCTCATCAGGTGCCAGTGCCATGCTCTTAGACTTCTCAGCTTCCAGAACTGAGAGAGAGAAATTTCTTTTCTTTATAAATTATCTGGTCTCAGGTATGCTATAACAACAGCAGAAAGCAGACTAAGACTCCTGGTTGTGGTTTCTGTGTTGCTGCTTTTAAAGTGCGATTTGGGGCTGGGCTTGGTGGCTCAGCCTGTAATCCCAGCACTTTGGGAGGCCGAGGTGAGTGGATTGCACGAGCCCGCGGGTTCGAGACCTGTCTGGGCAACTTGGTGAGACCTCATCTCTACAATAAATAAAAAATTAGCTGGGTGTGGTAGCGTGCCCCTGTAGTTCCAGCCACTCAGAAGGCAGAGGGGGAAGGATAGCCGGAGCCCAGCAGGTCGAGGCTGTGGTGGCCGGGAGCGGCCACTGCACTCCAGTCTGGACGACAGAGTAAGACTCCAACTAAAAAATAAATAAATAAATAAAAATAAAATAAAATAAAGTGTGATTTGGAATCCTGCTCAGAAGTGGGACCTTAGTACTTGTTTTCTTTAGGTTTCCTGTTGCCGTTTATTTTCACGCCTTTGTGATTGTCTAGTTTGCTGTAGATTGGCCTTTGCTCTGGTGCATCAGTTCTCATGTCTCACTGTAAGCCTCACTACATCAGCAACAAGGTGTGTTTTTTTGTTTTGTTTTTGTTTTTTATTTTTTTGAGTTGGAGTCTCACTCGGTCACCCAGACTAGCGTGCAGTGGCCGCTTCTGGCACTAGCATGCAGTGGCCGCAGTCTTGCCTGCTGGGCTCCAGCGATCCTTCCGCCTCAGCCTTCCGAGTAGCCGGAATTACAGGCGCGCGCTACCACGCCCGGCTGATTTTTTGATTGATTGTAGAGATGAGGTCTCGCTGCCCAGGCGGGTCTGGAACCCGCGGGCTCAGGCCATCCACTCACCTCAGCCTCCCAAAGGCGCGGGATGACA